GTGTATTCACCCTTTCCCTGATCCACTAGTGCCATGTTTTCCACATTTCTGTGCTTTATATTGGTGAGTTCACTGTTTAAAATGGACCCAAGCATAGTAATGAATTGCTATGTAGTGTTTCTAAGTGTGAGAAGGCTGTGATGTGCCTTACTGGAGAGCATGTCTGTGTTAGACAAGCTTTGTTCCAAAGTTACATGAGCTAAAGTGCTGTTGACTGTGAGTTCAATGTCAATGAAGCAACAATGTATATTAAGTAAGGTGTCTTTAAACAGAAACACATATTAACCAAGATTATGTACTGATCAGTTGATGAAAATATTGGGAGTAGAGGCTCACAGGAACCTAACCCTCTATTTCCCTTAGGAGCAATGGTTCACTATTTGCTAGTTCAGTGTTTCTGATAACTTTATAAAACATAGCTACTGGGAATAACAAAAATGGACTGTGTAAAATCTGATGTGATCAACATGGCCTGGTGAGTGGGAAGGTAAGTGTGTGAGGGCAATACTTTGGAAACATACACGAAAGAACGTTTGACATGACCTTAAGAGTAGAAGAGGGCTTTAAAGAAGGATCGCTTTTGAGCTGGGATTTTAATAAATGAGTAGAAATATAATGAGTGGGCCAGGATGCAAGGCCATTTAAGGCCCAGGGGACCATGTACAAAGGAAGGGTGGTCTCAAAGAGCTTGGCAATCTCAGTCACTAAAGAAGCCATTCAAATCATGGGCTCCAACTCAGCCACAGCCAACGGTTTTCAGCCATTACCAAGTTTCCCTACATAGATGGGGCTGTGATCTCTGCGACGAGGAAGTGTGCAGCATGTCAGCTGTAAAAATTGGCTCAATATTCATAATCAGATCTGTTATGCTCCCTCTGAGGCCTGACCATGTTTCCTTAGAAACCCCTAGTTACATAAAGCAACTGTGGCCTGTAATTGGCAAGAAAACCTGCCACCTTTGGAAGTCAATACAGTAATGCCAGAGGGAAAGCACTATATGATTCCTGGGGAAACAAGTGAGGTAGGAGGATAAAATGGAAACCCCTTCGTATAGAGCAGCAAGCAGAGAACATTGTAAGGCTCTCTGACACCGAATCAGTCCGCCTCCACTCCCGGTCCTCAACAGTGAATCAGTCCACTAAGTAGCAAGTAGCACTTACTGCATGACTAGGATCACTCAAGGCGCTTGGAGGACACACACACACACACACACACACACACACACATACACACACACACATATACACACACACCTATTCTTTCTTTTACAGCTACAAAGCCCTCCCATCAACCTTCATCTTTTTGGAAGAGAAATTCGAAACTCCAGAGACTTAAGTAACTTCTGTTCACACAGCTAGTGAGTGGCAGAATGAGGATGCACGCTCAGCTTTGATTCCACATCCAGTGGGGCTTTTATCTGTTTCTCAGATAAGGTCCTTTTCTTTTCCGAGACACAGAGAAAAGAAGTGTTACCATAGTGCCACCACTAAGGTGAGGCATCGCATCGTTAGCACTGGGGGGAGGGGTCTTTGATGGCTGGAGGTGGGGAGGAAGTCATCCTAGGTGCCTATATAGGAGCAAAGGTACATAATCAGGAATGACCTTTCAAAGAACAAGGGGGCTTTTGCTGAGAAAGGGCCTCGTTCCACCTGTCCCAGGATGGACCTCAGTGGATAGAGAGGAGCCCTGGGTGGGATCAGCCCTTGTTGCTCTATCTCCAGAGTGTGCGCCCATCTTCCATGATCCTATCATGCTAATCGTCAATAACTATAATCGGGGACTGGTTTGTGGCAAGAATTATTCTCAGCCTGGGGATGCTTTTCAAATGTGAGGGAGCAGAGCCTGGTCCATGGAGGGCAGCTCACAACCCGTGGGCGATGGTGGTAGTGCTCTTCTGATGATTCTCACTGCTGCCTCCTCTCTTTCTCCAAGTGCTCTTAGCCTATCATCGTTCTCTTTATTGGAGGCTCCAGTCAAGGCTGGCCCGTCCCTGGAAGCTCCCAGGGTCAAGTGCAGCCTTCTCGGTTCTTCACTCTCAGCCTCACTTTGTCCAGTCCCTCTAGTGCTGTGGCCACACTGAACCCCTTTGTGTCTCTACCTAGAGTGTCCTTGACCCCATTCCTACCTATGGAAGTCTAGCTCATCCCCCAGGGTTCAACATAAAAGGGTCTGCTCCTGATTTCCTCCAATCACAATGAATGCCTTCTCGTGCTGGGTCCGTACCACCAATACCTCTATTCTCATCTGTTTCCTATTCTGCCTTGTCACAAACTGGGCTGGCAAGCTATCCGTGTACTCTCCCAGGCTGGGCGCAGGCTCCATCATTTAGCACAGTACCTGGCACTTTGCCAAAGCTCAAGAAATTTCTTTTAAAAAAAAACTACACAAATAAGTGATGAGGGTGTCCTTGAAACTAGAATAGTTCCGTTTAAATTTAATTTAACTACGACATTAAAGTTCATTTTAGCAAATGTACATTGTGAATAAAAGCCTTCTGAAACTTTATCTCAAGCTACCTGGCTCCCTCAATGATAGCTTCATTTCACTGTAATCTTTATTATGCAAACCTCTAAACTTGTTATTAGTATCACTGATGACACTGAAAGACTATTTCATCTGATCATTGTGTCTTAGGAAACACTTGTTAAATTCCACACTGATAATTCGAAACCCTGTTATTCCACAGGGGGCTAGGCAATACCATGAGGGTACCCCTCAGTGCCTGAAACAGAAGCTGTCTTTACGTGCGTGGAAGTGAATTTCCTGCATCAAATAGCCTCCTCTCACCAACCTAAGCTGTATTCTGAGGACAGGCGGGTGGAAAGTAAGGAGTCCTCTTGTTTTCTGAAATGATAGTGCTTTATGGGGTGAATGGCGTCTGTGGCTGATTCATCCTTGCCCTTCCCAGAGCCTGGCCAGGTTCAAGGTGGACGGAATAAATTTGATATGTTGGTGTGCAGGTGTGGGGGTGGAACGAGAAGAATTTTCTAATAGAACCACCCCAAATTAAAGTGGGTCGTCCTTGTAGGGAATGACAGCAGGGGCTGGGCCAGGAATGCCAGGCCTGGGCAGACACACCTGAAGAATGGGCAAGTGTTCATTCGGATCCTAAGGCCCCCTACCAATAGGGGGACTATTTCATTCTGACCAGACTGTGCCCTCCTGGCTCCTGTCTGAATTCTTGCCAAAACCCAGCACAGGAAACCATGCCAAGCGGCTCGTGGGAACTTTTCAGACCCACCTATGGATTGTCAGAGGCTCAGAAAGAGGGGGGACCCGACCAAGCTCTCCCGAAGCTTCCTGCACTCAGCCCTGTCGGAGACTATCTATCAAGACGAAGAGTAGAGACTATATCACTAGCAGAGAAGAGTAGAGACCCCCAAAAGCTAGTGACCTTTGAAGCCCTAGCAAAGGTCGGAGCTGTGCACCACCCAGTTAATCTAGTAGATAATGGTAGCTGAAACATCCCCACCTTAATTCACTTAATTCCTTAGATACTCATGTAAATCCTTGTTGATTATTGTTGATTAGATATTCTGCCTATTTCTGGAAATTGTCTGCTGATGAGCTAATCTGTGTGTCATTGAAACCTCCTTACCTTAGGGCTACCCCAGATCAAATAAAAGGTTGGAGCGGCCTGAGCATCAGTGGAAGTCCTTCTGGACTTGCTCGCCTGGTCCCCCAATATTTCCAAATTATCTCGTCTCTTTTCTCTTTCATTTGTGTGCGGCCCCTCTTTCAGACCCGAATCTCTTCTCTTTCATTTGTGTGTGGCTCCTCTTTCAGACCCGAGCCCTGGACCACGCAAGACGTGGAAGGAAACACACTCGACACAGCCCCGCCTGCCTTATGCTGCCAGCCCACACACTCCTGCAAGGGCACAGCTCCAGGCACACGCCTTGGCCCCTTGTAGGAATCTAATAAATGTCTCAGGATGCTCAGGCTGATGGCCTGGAAAAGGAAGCAGGAGAAGCCTGAGCCTGCAGGACGGGCCCCCGCCCCCCTACCCCCCCCAACTGGGGCTCTGACTCACAACCTGTTTGGCACTGGGCAGCCCTCTCTGGTTTCCTGAATCTCTCTTTAATGCAAAAAGCCTTCATGGCAGATGTTTTTGAACAATGATCATGACAATGACACGGTAATCCCTGCTTTCCCCTTGCATCATAGAGGTGGTTTTTTTAAGTGTTTTTGTAGACTGACTCTTCTGGGTAATTATATTTGAACTGAGCATCTGTGAAGACTTTTCTGGTGGTCTCCTCAATTAGATCATTGTGCCCTCCTACCCCCGCCCCCCAGGACTGGGAACCTGTTACCAGTGTGAGCAGGGAGCTGGGTTTCGAATCCAAGGTGATTTGAGGGTGGGGATAGGGGTTGCGATGGTCTGACCGGGCGCAGGGGCACTATTTGAGGGTGGGTGTGAATCTAGGAATTGATTGCTGGGCCTTTCCTGTGCTTTTTGTTGTTGTTTGCTTGTTTGTCTTTTTGGACGGGAGAGTGGGTATGGAGGAATTCCAGGGCTGGAAACAGTAGATCCCGGCTCCCCCGGGGAGGGCGAAGCCCAGCGGC